GATCAACACGAACGCCAACGTCTGTAGGATCTCGTGGTCGCCGGCAGTATAGCCCACGCGACCGATCAGTCGTCCCGAATAGCGCCACAACAGTGGTATGGCTTCTGTCCAGAGGATCGCCTGAAGAATGGGTGATAATTAGTGATACATTTAATGGTAGTCTCTCTAAGACTCTCTCAACACATCCCAAGACATACAGTGTTCAGCAATTGGTTCCAAATGGAGGCGTAAAACCCGAAACAACTCTTATCGATGTTATAATCTCTGGCTTTGATGAGTGTCTCCGTGTCTAAGACGCCGATCAGTTCTGTGGGCACTTCAGTCACACTCTTGTAGATCTTGTACTGCAAGTCATGGCATCAATGAGTAGGCAATCATCGAAACGAATGGCACGAGTGGTGGACATACCTGTCGTCGCGAGAGATAGAGATCCCACGCGAAGACAATCCACGTGAAGATGAGGACAGAGAGGAAGATGTTTGCGGGCGTCCAGCAGGTGGTGACCAAATCGGTGAGCAGTTGGTGACCGAAGCCGCCGCTCAGGAGGGCGTGTCGTGTGGCCGAAGACATGGCGTCGGTGTCTGTGTCTGTGTCTGTGGGATGTGTTGCGGTGATCGGCGCTCAAGAGATGTGTCAATGAAATGGCAAATCATTCACTGGTTTTGACACATGTTTTGTAAACTTAACACAAAAGGCGCCCAAAAATAACGTGACGTTTGCCTCCCATTTGACACATCATTGATGCTGTGATTGGCGTTCACTTCAGTTGACAATAGCCTACACTCAGAGACTTGTCTTCACTATCACTGCAACGGATCCACGAGTCTATCGATTTTGGATTCTTTACGGAAGTACAGCCTCTCTTTGTGTTCACTTCTATGTCTCAACACATGTCTTCGGAAGCAATGCGTCGCCGAAGAGGTCGCAAAAAGTCGGACAACAAGTCTCCTGAAAGCAGTTCTTCTTCGCCACAAACCACTCGACTTCCGAGGAATGAGTGCTTCCGGCGGTCCGTCATCGTCGCCATCGGTCGCCGCTATGAACCGTTTCGACATCCACTCCATAACCCATTTGAGGGATAATTTGCAGGCACTCGACGGTCACGTGGACAGTAAGTATTGCCGCCTCACACCCACTCACCCCTACCCCACACCCACCCGACCATCATATGTATGCCCACTGTCTATATATATACACCACGTGTTTGTGTGTTCAGCGCCATTAGGACGGCTGTGGAGACCTCGCGAGTGATGTACGACGAGATGTGCAGCACTGGGGCCGAGTGGGTGCCGACCCCCACACCTATAGAGCGCGAGGGTTTGACATTTGACATGCAGTTCTGGTTCGGCGGTACAGCCCTTACCGGGTGTTCGATGAGCGCCGATTTGGCGGCGGCGGTGCTGTTGTGGCGCTGAGACAGGCGTTGAAGGCATTGCAAGAGGAATGGTATCCTCAGCCCACCCCTCCCTCTCAGCCTCCTATCGGTCTGTCGTCCGCAGCGCCCTCTCCAGCAAACAAAGCTGATGACGAAGACGGCGGTCGTGTGTCACCACTGGAAGCGCTCGACGAAAGCGTGCGATCGTTGACCATCGATGGCCTGTTGACCGACAGTGACAGCCCTTCCGGTGCGGACACCGATGACAGTAATAAGACGCAAGAGATGTCCGTTTGACTGAGCTTTTAGTGACTCAAGTAATTGTGATAATAGTCTTTCAGTGGCTATAAAGTAGATCTCAATATAAATGTAATCTCTATTTATACTTAACTAATAAAATATGAATCAGTTTTGAGATAATGTGTGGTTAAAAGTCTTGAAATCGGTTTTTGTGCTGTTTTTTATTGATATTTACAATAATAATACAGTATTTATTGATATATACGGTACAGTATATTATATAAGGCAATTAAAGTATACCGTAGTATAACTTATTTTAATACTGGTATATTAAGTTAACTTGATATTAAAATATATATATGTACAGTAATTTAGTTATGAAGTAAGTTATTTGACATAAATGTAATATTTGGCCACAAATTCTATAATTAGAAAACATATAAAATTGAGAATTAAGCCATAATTGCGAGTAAATCCCACATAAAAACTAAACCATTCATTTTGGCTGTGATCTCATCCCCCAAGTGATGAATATTTGTTCACTGAATACTGATTTCTAGTGAATTAGTTGTGAGAATAGTTTTCATCATTTATTATGTATTGTTAAGTGTTTGGGTGTTTTGTATCCCTTATTAACATTCATTAATTATATGAAATTTTCTATTTTCATAAAATCCCACAAAACTTGTATTCTTTGAATCAAATTCTTTATAAATAATAAGAATAATTACAGTAATATTGAAATTTATGTTTGAATTAGCATAAAAACATTAATTGTCTTATAATGCTATCTGTTATGCTGCTAATTATAATTGAAATGATTTAACGATTTATTTAATGATTTAAATGTTGTATTTATTATACTCATAGAATTGAATCAATTGATTTGCAATTAATTAAAAGTATATTTAATAATGAATGATTTTAGGAATAAATTAATAATACATTTACATTTACATTGTCTTACTTGTTAGTGTTAGAATTTGAAGGTTATCTTACTATATATTTTTTTAATTTTAAAATAATTAATGGTTTAGTTTAGTTTTGAAACATACAAAACATACAAAATATACATATTCAACACTTGATTAAAATAATTTCACCATTTGGTGATTCATTTCTATAATTAATTGTATATTTTGTGTAAATCCATGGATTTACATCTGAATTGTGTGTTAATTCCTTGAAATATTTAATTGTTTTTAAAATTGTAAATAGTATTAAACGTTGTATTGAACAGTGCAGTACTTTAATTTTAAACAAAAACAATAGTTAATGGTTTTGTAAAAAATATTACAAACAAAATATTTGGGTTGTCTTTACAATGAAATTATGGGTTTTGGTAATGAAATTCTTGTTTAATAATAAGCTTTTAATATTCATATTTTCGTTGAAAAATTATATCAAATTTAAATTAATTATTTATGATGTTAATTTAACAAAGTATTTTATCCATTATATAAATTTATTGCATGTTTTATATTGTGATGAGTTTCAAAATAATTGAACACAATTTCAATGAACTCGTTTCACAATTAGATAGACTATTTTACATTTACATATTTTCATACATAAATCAAGTGTTAATTGACAGCAAACAAATATGTTTAATTAAGTAACTGTATATAGTATATAAATATCATAATATATAATTAATTGTGAAATTAATTTCACTGTAGTGTATGTTTCTACTAAAGTCTGCGAAACAATTATTAAAACATTAAAATAAAATGAATTGCTTTTTATTATCAAATGTATTAATATTTTTTATAAACCAATGCCATTTAATGTGATTTATCATTGAATGATAATTGAATATTATAGCAAATTGTCACATAATTCATATTAATTGTAATTTATATAATAAATAATATATCGGTAATGAATTTGTCAATAAGTAATTGTCTTTAACTATATTGATTATTTATAAATAAGATAATAATTCAATTTTATGGTGACTTACAAAAAATTAAGATTTAATTAAAAAAGACAATTTAAACAATAAAAAAAATTGTGTACACATACACTCAATTTACTTATTAAAGTCAAATAAATAATTAGTATTTTAAATCATTAATCTTATGGTTTTGTTATATTCAAGGTTTATGGTATTTTTGGCAAAATTACAAACATATTACCAGATTGTTTTATAAAAACTTAATTAAGATTTTTATATTTAAATATTAATTTATGTAAACATTAATAAAATAAAATTAAAATAAAGAAATGCTAAGATTTATGATGAAAATAAGAGTTATATTTAACTCCAAATAAGTAATATGAGAGTTCATAACACTATTATTAAGACTACAGTATTTAAATGTAAAAAATATAAACAAAAATTACTTTTAACTTTGAAGTGAATTTCTTAGTAAAAAATAGCTGAAAATTTTCTTATATATTAAAGCAGATTTGAAATTAAAATGAATGTATCATTAACTTTCAAATTCCTATTAGATTGTAAAACAAATAGTCATTTCCAGTGTCCTATTAAGTGTGTATTAAATAATAAACTTAATTGTAGTGAATATTGTATTTGAAAGATTTTATTGATAAAGTCTTTTAAAAGTTTCCTGTTAAAGTATTTTAAATTTAAAATAATCGTAAGTATTAACATTATAAATAATTATTAATAGCTCAATATATTAATTAGTTATCTAATTGTAGATTAAGTAATTAAAAGTTAGGTATATTTAATATGTTAAAATGCTCTATTTATTTTTAAAAATTTATTTACCGGTAGTTACCACATGCCAATAATTGTTTTAACTTTACTATAAAATATTAAAGTGCTAAATATAGTTTAGTGTTTGATAAATCAATCGAAATTCAATGTCTTAATCAAAAAACATTTGTTGTCATATTTTAATAGAAAAAATAACATAAGTATTAGTTTTTAATTAAGAAAAGTGTTTACTAAGAAAATATGAAGAAATCGTTTTTACAGCTAAACGTTATAAAACACAGACTTAATCTAAAATTAATTCAAATGTGAAGCATAATGTTGTGATAATTATAGTACTGTATAGTCTATACTATAGACAATACATTTCTAAGAATGTAATCCTCTATTTTTTGTGGAAAACCTATTACAGTAAGTAAGGTATTAGACATTGGTGTGTATCACAGATATTCTCGAGACTTGGAAATGGGTTTGAATTAGAGTTATAGAGAACTAAATACTTCTCTCTCAACTCAATGTCGAAACACCAAAAAGTGGTGAAAAACCAGTTCTTGTGCCGCAATCAGTCATTTAACTCTCAATCGATTTCACTCTCGTTTTTCTTACACTCTATTCATAATTACTTTTTTGCGAATAAACGAAAAGTTTCTTTAAAAAAAACTTTTTCATAAACTTTTTTTATATCGCTCGACAGCTAAGTAAACAATATTTGAAAACAAATCAATTTATTTGTTGTGCTTTTTGTAATATACCGGGAAATAAGTTGTGCTTTTAATTGATTTTCTATAATAAGAACTATTTGACCGCCAATTCTGAACGTGTGATTTGTAAAATATTTTCTGATTTTAATATTTGATAACATTTTATGTGTTTTTAGAAATAATCGAGAATTTTATTCGTGTGCTTATTCAGATTTTAGAAATATTTAGAAATGAATAGTACTTTAGTTGCGGAAAACTCTACACATTTAGAGTTTCTAAGCATGAATTCAACGAATTATACGATTAATGGCACCGAGTTATCGGATATTAAATTGACGCCACTATTGAAACAAATTCATGACTATCTCATTGTGTTTCTACTTATTTGTGTGATGTTTGCTATGGGATGCTCTGTTACTTATGAACAAGTAAGTTTTGTTATTACACTATTATTAACTTGTATTAAATTAATTTATATTATAAACTTATTTTATGGTTTCCATTAGGTATGGGGTCATCTGAAAAAACCTTTTGCCGTAATCGTTGGACTGATAGCACAGTTTGGATTATTACCGTTTGCTTCCTATTGTCTCATCCATATAATGGAGCTGGAACATTTACATGCTGCTGGTCTTTTTATATTAACATTATTAAATTATTTATTCAAAATAATAAAATTGTGTTTTTAATTATATAGGTTTGTTAATTCTGGCGTGTTGCCCAGGTATTTGACTTAATTCATAACATAGCGAATTGAATGTTAAATAAATTGTGCTTGTTTAGGAGGCGTCACATCCAATATATTTACATATCTATGTGATGGAGACCTTTCTCTCAGGTCTTAAACTTATTATAAGCGATGTGTTGACCAAACATTAAACTTTTAATTTTAGTATAACAATGACTACATTGGCAACAATTGTGGCCCTTTTGGCGATGCCGTTGAATATATGGGTTTACGGCAGGAGTTTAGAGACTGACATCGTTGTCATCCCATACTTTCAAATGTCTTTTACTTTGATATTGATTACAATTCCGGTCATCATTGGCATGATATTAAACTGGAAGTTACCCAAATTTACACCATATATCACAAAAGTATATATATTTGATAGAAAATAATGTTTGCAAAACTTAGTCGATATTATGACACCTTATGTACCAAAAGGCTGGTGTGTTGTCTGGATTGGCAATCGTGTTGTTTTGCCAAACTCTGGAGATCTTCATATTTCCGGACATATTTTCTGACGTTCCCCTCTCGCTGTACGTCGCCGTCATTGTGCTGCCCGTAATAGGTCTGGCCGTGGGTTACATAAGCGCCCGAGTATTTTGTCTCAAAAAATACATTTGCCGCACAATTGCCATTGAAATCGGCATTAAGAATGTGGGAACAGCTCTCACTATAGTCTCGCTTTCATTCCCATTTGAGGTATGAATTCAATGTCTGAATGGTTTGTAAACTATAATTATAGTATTGTGTGTAACTGTCTGTGTGTCGCACACCTTCGCTGTATTATTTAATACCCCCAATAATAATAGCCTTCAAGTGTAGTGATGAATGAGTACAATAAGTATAATTGAAGTTTTGTGTAATGTTATTAAATAAGTGTAAAAATGTGTCTAATTTTATTGTTTACAAACACTTTACGACAAACTATTAATGAACATATCAATTGTGATTTGCATTTCAATGTCTATTGCATTATATGATAGCAATTACGTAAGGCCTGGCTCTTCCCATTTCTCTATGCCTTCTCATCGCTGGGAATCCTAATCATAGCCACCGCTTACCACCGATTTATTGAAGTATTTTGTGTCCAATCGCCACAACTGCCCGAAGACAAGGACCCGACATTTGCTCAGAAACTATTGGAAAAGTATAAGAATTTATGAATTTGTGATTTAGGATTATAATTGTTATTATTTTTAGTGACAACGAGAATGTCCAATCGCCACAACTGCCCGAAGACAAGGACCCGACATTTGCTCAGAAACTATTGGAAAAGTATAAGAATTTATGAATTTGTGATTTAGGATTATAATTGTTATTATTTTTAGTGACAACGAGAAGCCCATTGTAATCATTCGCTCCAAAGAATCCGATTATAAACACAATAATGGTGTCAATTCTAATTTATAACTCACAAGAATATTCTTTTATTTTATTAGATTTATTTTTACTTAAGAAAAAGTTATTTAGTAAATATGTCAATCCTATAGATACAGGGTAATACCAATAGATATTAAAAGTTCTATTATTACGATATATAATTCCTTAAAATAAATATAAAACTGCCTTATATTTGATATTATATTATAAATAAATATATTTAAAATGTTTTAGAATTTATGTAATATATTAATATCCACTTTAAACTTAAAGTTTGTTTAATGATTTCAATGAAATTTTTTTTCTTATCTCAATATTACTTTTTAAAACTATTAATTGATATTATTTTCATTAATTTGTAATTTGTGAGCTTTAAGTAAATCCCAATTGGTTTTTAATATATAAGATATTAATTTTAATTAGTATTAAAAATGAAGGACAAGTTCAGGGATGACTTTGCCTAAAAGGGTGGTGTGATTGTCACCATTCATAACACATTGAAAATCAAGTATTTTGAATAACTTGGCAATTATTACATGATATTGTGTCTAATTTACATAATCTTTATAGTTTTCAAGTTTTTGTAACATTTTATTGAATGTTGAAAGTTAAGCAAAATAAAGTTTTATTAAATAAATAAAAATATTCTCGTTTTAAGTGGTGTTACTCTGATTATGTCATTAGACTATAAAAAATGAATTTAATTGAACACAAAACAAACAATTTATAAAATATTCAAATACTATTACTAATGTGTGTTATATAATTTGTTTGACGTCAATCATTTAGGCGTTCAAATGACCCCTTTTATTAATATCTAAATCATACTACACTTATCAGATGAGCAAAAATTACATGTTTCCCAGAAAGAGTTTATGAATTTCAAAAAGTTATTTCAAATATTGCATCAGAGGTTCAAAATCCTTGAGATATAGTAATCTACTGGATATTTCTGTATTGAGACACTATATTGGATTAATCGGCAAATTATTTGATAAAAACGTAATTTTGTTATTCATTAGGACTTTACTGACATTTAGTTCATTTGTCACATTTAGAAAATTGTTTATAAAAATGTTATTTGAAAACTTATATAAAGCTATATCACTAATTTTTCTGCACAGATTTGTTTTTCATGACTTAATTATTAAATAACATTATAATCATATAATATCTTAGTTGATACTGTATAAAAAAATGAAGTTACCAATATACACAGTCGATGCATTTACTATTAATAACGAGCCCTTCACGGGAAATGGAGCCGCGGTTTGTATACTGGAATATGATGTAAGAAATCTTATACCTTTGCAAACTTATATTAATTGACTAATTATTAAGAAAATTAATTTTTATAATATTTGGTATTCATAGGACGACATATCGGACGAAATAAAGCAAAAAATAGCGTCNGAAATGGAGCCGCGGTTTGTATACTGGAATATGATGTAAGAAATCTTATACCTTTGCAAACTTATATTAATTGACTAATTATTAAGAAAATTAATTTTTATAATATTTGGTATTCATAGGACGACATATCGGACGAAATAAAGCAAAAAATAGCGTCCGAAATGAATTTGAGTGAAACGGCTTTCGTAACCAAAGCGTGGACTAGGAGTCAGAAAGTGGTGACCAATACATACACTATAAGATGGTTTTCACCCTTCGTGGAGGTGCCCATATGTGGCCATGCTACACAGGCCAGTGCCGCCGCCCTATATGATAGATATTTTAAAAACCATATACCTGGCTCAACTCAAACAAACACTTCAATTTACATTAATTTTATCACAAAATTTAAGGGAATATTTATAGCGACGATAAACACGTCCGATATGTCCGTAACTATAGACCTACCATTACCAGATGTCAACCCCATTACCCGAAAGTTAAACTCCAGGGTTGTAGACATCATTAGACATACATTGGGACCGGATATTAACACAGACAGTGTGGTAGACATCGGGCTGACCACAGATATGCCGTATATTTTATTACGATTGAGAGATGGCTTATGCGGTGGTGAACCCCTAATACATAAGGTTTCACCAGATTTTACTAAATTAGCGAAAGCGACAAATGACTGGAATTTTGCGGTCGGAGTGATTGTCACAGAAAAAGCTCAATCAGGAGATGACATCGATTTCTATTCGCGATTCTTCGCACCCAATGCTGGCATTAATGAGGACCCGGTATGTGGATCAGCCCATACAGTGCTTATGCCGTATTGGGACAGACTGTTCAATGGATTGGGTGATCATAGGAAGCAACTCATAGCCAAACAGTGTTCACAAAGAGGAGGACTTCTGGTCTGTAAAATAGTTGGACAGAGAGTCCATTTGACTGGAAGTCCAAACATTTGTGTTTCAGGAGTTTTGTCATTTTAATACTCTGTTTGTAATCGATGTTTAATATAACTTCAATTAAACTAACAAACTGTGTGACCAATAGTCCAATAGACCAAATATGATAGATATTGATTATATCTATTAATTGGGTAAATGTTTAAGGTTTAAAAATAGAAACTGTAATATACTGTAAATTTAAAACTTAATTATATATAATAAACTAAATTAAATAATTAAATTTACAGTATAATAAATTTACTAATTGAGTTTTAAACAATTTTATTCTATCAAAATATTTATTGTCTCTGTAATATACTGTAAATTTAAAACTTAATTATATATAATAAACTAAATTAAATAATTAAATTTACAGTATAATAAATTTACTAATTGAGTTTTAAACAATTTTATTCTATCAAAATATTTATTGTCCTTAATTTAAATTTTAAATTAATTTTATTTTTAATAAAATTGAAAAGATTTATTGATATCTAAATAATACGGTACTACACTATCAAATGAGCAAAATTTACTTGTGTTCAAAAAGTTTATGAATTCAAAGAGTTATTTCAAATATTGCATCAGAAGCTCAAAATCTGTGAGATAGAGTGACACTAATAGTCTATTTTGGACTAATCAGCAAATTATTTGATAAAAAAAAGTAATTTTGATATCCATTAGGACTTTACTGACAATTAGTTCATTTGTCTTATTTGCAAGTTGTTTATAAAAATGTTATTTGAAAACTTATATAAAGCTATATCAGTAATATGCAGTAAGTGTACAGATTTATTTTCATGAATTAATCATTAAATAATATAATAATTATATAATATCTTAGTTAATATAAAAAATGAAGTTGCCAATATACACGGTCGATGCATTCACTATTAATAACGAGCCCTTCACGGGAAATGGAGCCGCGGTTTGTATACTGGAATATGATGTAAGAAATCTTATAACTTTGTAAAACTTATATTAATTGAGTAATTATTATTATTAAGTAAATGAATTTAATTTATATAATATTTGGTATTCATAGGACGACATATCGGACGAAATAAAGCAAAAAATAGCGTCCGAAATGAATTTGAGTGAAACGGCTTTCGTAGCCAAAGCGTGGACTAGGAGTCAGAAAGTGGTGACCAATACATACACTATAAGATGGTTTACACCCCTGGTGGAGGTGCCCATATGTGGCCATGCTACACAGGCCAGTGCCGCTGCCCTATATGATAGATATTTCAAACACCATACACCTGGCTCAACTCAAGCAAACAGTTCAATTCACATTAATCTTGTCACTAAATNAAAGGGTAGTCTTATTGGCATTGGTTTGGATAGCAATCAAAAGGTATTACTGACTATACTATTGATAAATAGCAGTTGTATTGATGCCATTTTTTATAGTTATATGAATTGCCCAACAATTCAGCCGTAAATGTGTGTCGTTTTGTGGATGAATACAGTGTAGTGTTTGGTCAACAAAGTGGTGAAATACAGTTAATTGATGTGAGATATAGTGATAAAGTTGTCAAATGTTGGCAAACGAGTGGTTCACCCGTTCTATCACTTCTTGCGTTCAGACATAAACAGAGGAATGGATTCTTCGCGGGTCGAGCGGACGGATCCACTGTTTATCACTATTTAGACTCAGATTCAGAAACTTTTCAGTTGAGTGGACCTGATTTCGAGGCCATCTATGATGTGGCCACTGATGGCACTCATGTGTTCACCGCCTGTAGAGATCATTGTATCCGTAAATATGATCTCAACGTTATTACAAACTCTTAGACTAATCACAAACATTTCGTTCACACAAATACACCACAAATGTACTCATTATCTAATACTGTATTTATACCATTCTGTTAGTTCTCAAACTACTTGTAATAAAATAAAATTTATATTAAACTCATAATTCTTTGAATGTACCACGGTAATAATACTAGGAATGCAAAGAATTGAGGCTTACAAGTAAGTTTTTTAATGGATGCAAAAAATGGTAATAAAATATATTGCAATAACTATTGAAATAAATTGTATTAATATTAAAATGGCATTTTTACACATAATTGTTTAATGTTTTAAAAATACATTGATTGCTAAAATTGTGCTTGTTTAAAAATACAGGTATTAAAATCGCATGACTATAAATAAAAATACATACAATTTATTGTTACATAAATAAAATCTTAATTATAATTAAAACACATATGATACAAAAATGTAATTATTACCATTTGTATAACGTATCGAAAGGATAACAGGAAATGGACTATAAAATGCCATTCAAGTGTTGTACAGAATATTCTGTATTCATTTTAATTTTGACTTGGCAATAAAGTTTATGTTAATTTTATTATATTTATTTAATCTTAGGCAAATAATTTTTATTGTTCATTTAAAATATAATATAATTTGTATATAATTTGTAATTTGTATAATTTATATATACAAAAAATTAATTGATGACAATAAATTTTAAATTAAAATTGAATTGAAAATTATCTATTTGATTCACTGTTTATTGGTTACAATTAAATTTCATATGATTTTCCAAACTATTAGATGTTCAATCAATTTGTTAAAAATTTGTTTAGATTTAGTGTTTACCTAATAGTGTGGTTTATTACCGATAATTAAGTTACAAATAAATTTCCAAACTATTAGATATCTTAAATATTTGTTTAAATTCATGGCATATTTAATAGTTTGATTTATTCCTATAATTAAGTTATAAACCAAACTATTAAGTGTTCACTGAATTTGTGGCATTTCTGGGACCCATTTAGCCATCTATTGGCTATTTATTGTTTAAATATTTTATTAATTAAAGTAAATTTATAATTAATTAATTTTAAATAAAAACTTTTGTGAATTGTTTTATTACTTTTTAAATGCTACTGTATTCTTTATTTATATAAATCTGGAATTTGTTATACAGTATTATGATACTAATAGAAATATCAAAAAATTTTACAAAAAAAACTTTTAAAACTGTTTTCAAACGCTATTATAAATTTATTTTATTATATGATAAAATAAATTATTTAAATAAAATCATTCAATTTAATATTAAAAATACAGTATTTAGGAATAAATATGTTCAATTTTATTAAAAATAAGGACAATAAATATTGTAAAAGATTAAAATTGTTTAAAACTAATTTATGAAAATTTATTATACTGTAATTTTAATTATTTAATTTGATTTATTATACCGATGTATAATTAAGTTTTAGATAGAGTATACAGTAAATTATGGTTTCTATTTTTATACTTTAAACTAAATGAGTTAATTATCTATATTACTAATAGATATTATAAACTATATGACCTGATAACCAGTGTGTAAAACAATTAAATTTAACTTCAATATAACTTGTAACTAATGTTTGTCTCATAATTTTACTGAAAACTCCTGAAACACAAATTTTCGGACTTCCAGTCAAATGGACTCTTTCTCCAACTATTTTACAGACAAGAAGTCCTCCTCTTTCTGAACACTGTTTAGCTATGAGTTGTTTCCTATGATCACCCAATCCATTGAACTGTCTGTCCCAATACGGCATAAGCACTGTATGGGCTGATCCAGTCACCGGGTCCTCATTAATGCCAAAATTGGGTGCAAAGAATCGCGAATAGAAATCGATGTCTTCCTCCGATTGAGCTTTTTCTGTGACAATCACTCCGATCACAAAATTCCAGTCATTTGTCACTTTCGCTAATTTAGTAAAATCTGGTGAAACCTTATGTATTAGGGGTTCACCACCGCATAAGCCATCTCTCAATCGTAATAAAATATACGGCATATCTGTGGTCAGCCCGATGTCCACCACACTGTCTGTGTTAATATCCGGTCCCAATGTATCCCTAATGATGTCTACAACCCTGGGGTTTGACTCTCGGGTAATAGTGTTGATATTGGGCAGCGGTAGGTCTATAGTTACGGACATATCGGACGGATTTATCGTCGCTACGAATATTCCCTTAATAAATCACTGTTCTAATTACACTTAACTTGACAAACGAACTCAACTCGGTCCACATACCACAAACTTTATAGATAGTATATCCCGTCGCCGTGACCGGACACATCGTACCGGTGTATACCCGTGGAGAATCAGCGGTGTAAACCATCTTATAGTGTATGTATTGGTCACCACTTTCTGACTCCTAGTCCACGCTTTAGCTACGAAAGCCGTTTCACTCAAATTCATTTCAGACGCTATTTTTTGCTTTATTTCGTCCGATATGTCGTCCTATGAATACCAAATATTATATAAATTAAATTCATTTACTTAATAATAATAATGAGTCAATTAATATAAGTTTTACAAAGTTATAAGATTTCTTACATCATATTCCAGAATACAAACCGCGGCTCCATTTCCCGTGAAGGGCTCGTTATTAATAGTGAATGCATCGACCGTATATATTGGCAACTTCATTTCTTATACCAACTAAGATGTTATATAATTATTATATTATTTAATGATTAATTCATGAAAATAAATCTGTACACTGGCAATTAGTGATATAGCTTTATATAAGTTTTCAAATAACATTTTTATAAACAACTTGCAAATAAGACAAATGAACTAATTGTCAGTAAAGTCCTAATGGATATCAAAATTACTTTTTTATCAAATAATTTGCTGATTAATTATCAAATAATTTTTTGTTGATTAGTCCAATATATATATATATATATAGACTATTAGTGTCACTCTATCTCACAGATTTTGAGCTTCTGATGCAATATTTGAAATAACTCTTTGAATTCATAAACTTTTTGAACACAAGTAATTTTTGCTCATTTGATAGTTTAGTACCGTATTATTTAGATATCAATAAATCTTTTCAATTTTATTAAAAATAAAATTAATTTAAAATTTAAATTAAGGACAATAAATATTTTGATAGAATAAAATTGTTTAAAACTCAATTAGTAAATTTATTATACTGTAAATTTAATTATTTAATTTAGTTTATTATATATAATTAAGTTTTAAATTTACAGTATATTACAGCTTCTATTTTTAAACCTTAAACATTTACTCAATTAATAAATACAATATAATCAATATCTATAATATTTGGTCTATTGGACTATTGGTTACACATTTTGTTAGTTTAATTGAAGTTAACAGAGTATTAAAATGACAAAACTCCTGAAACACAAATTTTCGGACTTCCAGTCAAATGGACTCTCTGTCCAACTATTTTGCAGACAAGAACTCCTCCTCTTTGTGAACACTGTTTGGCTATGAGTTGTTTCCTGTGATCACCCAATCCATTGAACTGTCTGTCCCAATACGGCATAAGCACTGTATGGGCTGATCCACACACCGGGTCCTCATTAATGCCAGCATTGGGTGCGAAGAATCGCGAATAGAAATCGATGTCATCTCCTAATTGAGCTTTTTCTGTGACAATCACTCCGACCGCAAAATTCCAGTCATTTGTCGCTTTCGCTAATTTAGTAAAATCTGGTGAAACTTTATATATTAGGGGTTCACCACCGCATAAGCCATCTCTCAATCGCAACACAATATACGGTATATCTGTGGACAGCCCGATGTCCACCACACTGTCTGTGTTAATATTCGGTCCCAATGTATGTCTAATGATGTCTACAACCCTGGAGTTTAACTTTCGGGTAATGGGGTTGACATCTGGTAACGGTAGGTCTATAGTTACGGACATATCGGACGTGTTTATCGTCGCTATAAATATTCCCTTAAATTTTGTGATAAAATTAATGTGAATTGAAGTGTTTGTTTGAGTTGAGCCAGGTATATGGTTTTTAAAATATCTATCATATAGGGCGGCGGCACTGGCCTGTGTAGCATGGCCACATATGGGCACCTCCACAAAGGGTGAAAACCATCTTATAGTGTATGTATTGGTCACCACTTTCTGACTCCTAGTCCACGCTTTGGCTACGAAAGCTGTTTCACTCAAATTCATTTCAGACGCTATTTTTTGCTTTATTTCGTCCGATATGTCGTCCTATGAATACCAAATATTATAAAAATTAATTTTCTTAATAATTAGTCAATTAATATAAGTTTGCAAAGGTATAAGATTTCTTACATCAT